GGATAAGGCCCCGAAACTTAAACCCTGTAAACCCTTATGTTGGAGCTTGTCGAGGTAGGCCATGTCCATTTGAAGTCACCTGGGCTGGTAGTTAGGTTTCAGTCTGCAGGGCTCTTCAGGGCTCAGCTCAGGGCTCACTTCAGCTTAGGGCTCAGGTCAGGGCTCACTTCAGCTTAGGGCTCAGGTCAGGGCTCACTTCAGTTTAGGGCTCAGGTCAGGGCTCACTTCAGCTTAGGGCTCACGTCAGGGCTCAGGGTCTTGAGAAGCTTGAGAAAGTGTTCGGACTTTTTTAGGGTGCTGGCCCATGGCCCCGAAGAAGCGACCTGCTGCGGCCAAGAAGCCGAATGCTGGTGAGGACGATGATGAAGCCGAGACTCGGAAGTCACGGAAAGGTTGCAAGGATTGGGTTAAGCTGCGAGATGCTTTGTTGCCCTTCATAGACAAACGGTTTTTCACTGCATATACTACGGATCGCTCAATCAAGAAGATCGACAAGAAGAAGCTCACCTCGCCGTTTTCTGTGATCGGAATAAGTACAGGCTTCTGTTTTGTTCCGACATAAGCTTGTTCTGTAGAGTGGCTGGGTTTTGTGCTGCAAGAGTGCACTCGAAGGCTCTTCCAGGGCATCTTGAACAACTGCAGACAACTGAGTGCTACGTGGAACTTTCCGGATACGACTATAAAGAGAGCCTTGCTTGGGGTTCTAAAGCACGAGGACTGCTGCTACCAGTTGAAGTTGTTGTTGATCCTATCGTTCTCTAGATATATAGATAAACGTATACCTTACTTCTGGCTTTTGTGGGCACACGACAGGACAAGGTGCATTTGGCAGAGCAGGTTAAAGAAGACGATCGGGATGCATGGTCAACAACCAATGCCTTACGACTCAGTGCTGCTTTCCGACACTACTCCCAAGCCACCCTTCGCCAAAGAGAGTGGGTTCCAAAGGCCTGGGTTGAGGGAAGCAGACCATAATTGGGCAATAGCTTCTTTACAATTTTTTGGGGGCCCCTTCAGGCACACAAACCTCTCAGAAGATTGCCTTCAGACATGCCTTCGGGAAAACGTAGACTCAGACGGGTCACTGGAAAGCAGCGAGACAAGAACTTTGCGGAGAAGAAAGCAGAGCCGAAGGATGAGAAGTGTGAAGCCCCAGATGAGCAGCAAAAGCAAGCAGATGATGCAAGCAGCCACCCCAGCTCCTCGGCAAGCAGCAGCAGCAGCAGCAGTAGCAGCACCACGACAAGCCCGGAAGACAATGAGCCCGACAATCAGAGCGCCGACAAAGAGCCCAACGAGCCCCCGCCACAAGTGCACGCAAACAGCAGCAGCAGCTCAATTCCAGAGCATGGTGTGTCTGACCTTTGGATGATTTAGCTAGAATACTTCTGAGATCTGTAGCATAGAAAGCGATTCCGGAATCATCGTTCTAGTGACACTGCAACCCATCAACTTTAGAAGTTGAGATGAATTATTCCGGTCTTGTGGCGGTTGCACAATCCTGCACGATCCCGCCCAGGAAGCAGCGGCCGCCATGGTGGCGAACGATTGGTTCCTGAGCACGCTGGATGGGATGATGGGCGGCTTTGATCCATCGGCTAGTACTGCGAGTTACCCGGCATTTCTTAGTTAGGAGTCGGCTTGGGATCCTACACTTCGGATTGGATTAAGCTTCTGGTTTTGTGCTGGGCTCATTGCTCCGGGCTTGGGGGGGTCGCTTGCCTGTGGAGGGTTTCAAACTCCGAAGGTTTTGTTGCTCGGCAGGCCACGTAGTGCAGCCCTTTGATTCCTAGTCTAGATAAAGATCGAGACTACGGTTATGCATGCCATGTTCGGATGC